CACGGATATCTTTAAAATTACCCCCCAACCCAATCTAAACCACCTAACATGCCGTTGAGGCGTCCACGGGAAATAGTCTGGCAATTGTCACGCCATAAATTATCCACAGGGAAGAGAAACAAAATGTTAAGTTAGGAGTTACCAGCGAAATTTTAATTTAGCAGCGAGTTAACAGCGAGTGAAAACGCAAGTGAGAAGATTCCCTTGACCTACATTTACACTGTGATCTGCACAGCTATGCTCAGCCACTCACTTTCGCTTTCGTTTTCTGGTGTCGCGGCAGATGCCAAGCAGCGTGCTAACAGCGAACTAAAACATGAGTGAGATCTATGCTACATACATACATGCATACATATGTATGCTCTTGCTGGGCCACTCACTTTCGCTTTCGTTCTATGCTGTGGGAGAGGGAGACTTTGCCGATTTGCAAGCCTAAGCAGCCTCTCTCACCTTCATGCTCACCCGCTCAATCTCTCTTTCTTTGCTGTGCATCTCTGCTGCACCTCTCTCACCAAAATCTTTCGTTATGTCACCCACCCCCATATACAATACGTTCTTGCTTGCCCACTCAATTTCGCTTTCGTTCTCTTGCAGGTAGACGAAGTTTCGAGCCGACTGCGCTGCTGCGTTCTCAGCTTGCAGTTGGAGCTTGGGAGAGCAGAGACGAGCGGAACGAAAGCCGATCGATGTCAACGAAGAGATTTGAGCTGCACTCTGCATGCACTCTCATCACGCCATTCTCACTTTCCCCCCGGCGCTCATTTTAAACAGTCAATTAAATCGGAGGTCTCGTGCGGCGCACGCGACTAAGTGCACAGCTTATTACGTTCATTCATTTACACAAAGTACCAAGCGCCGGCGCACGTGGTTTCGCGGCGTGGACTTTAAGGTGTTGAAAAGTTGCGGAAAACATTCGGAACATTGCATAAACACCTGCGTGATACGTTTAGAAAGCGTTTAAAAGACAAATCATGGAAGTCATGGAAAAGACAGAAATATGAAAGCCAATGTGTGTGGAGAGCCAAAGAACTACAAACAAATCGCAGTTTGTGTGAAAACAATGTTTTTTTTTAAGTGAAGAAACCCAAAAAAAAAAGCAATTGCGTCTCAGTTTTAGCGCTGCTTCCCACGCGTATTGCCAGTTAAAGAAAAAATAACGGCACCATGGCGTGCGTGATGCGCCGCTGAGCTTTAGTTTTTTTTCGGTGAGAGTGAGTGCAAGTGTTAGTGTCGATGGTCATTATGACGCCAAGGAGGGCTGGGCGGTTGCGGCCAAAGTGAGTGAAAAGTGAGTGCACAATTAGAATGAGTTGAGTGCAAAAACAGTTAAATGTCCCGCAAGACTAAAGAAAGAGCGGAAAAGAGAATGTCACTCAGTGTTAAGTGCAAGTGTTAGTGTCGATGGTCATTATGACGGCAAGGAGGGCTGGGCGGTTGCGGCCAAAGTGAGTGAAAAGTGAGTGCACAATTAGAGTGAGTTGAGTGCAAAAACAGTTAAATGTCCCGCAAGACTAAAGAAAGAGCGGAAAAGAGAATGTCACTCAGTGTTAAGTGCAAGTGTTAGTGTCGATGGTCATTATGACGGCAAGGAGGGCTGGGCGGTTGCGGCCAAAGTGAGTGAAAAGTGAGTGCACAATTAGAGTGAGTTGAGTGCAAAAACAGTTAAATGTCCCGCAAGACTAAAGAAAGAGCGGAAAAGAGAATGTCACTCAGTGTTAAGTGCAAGTGTTAGTGTCGATGGTCATTATGACGGCAAGGAGGGCTGGGCGGTTGCGGCCAAAGTGAGTGAAAAGTGAGTGCACAATTAGAGTGAGTTGAGTGCAAAAACAGTTAAATGTCCCGCAAGACTAAAGAAAGAGCGGAAAAGAGAATGTCACTCAGTGTTAAGTGCAAGTGTTAGTGTCGATGGTCATTATGACGGCAAGGAGGGCTGGGCGGTTGCGGCCAAAGTGAGTGAAAAGTGAGTGCACAATTAGAGTGAGTTGAGTGCAAAAACAGTTAAATGTCCCGCAAGACTAAAGAAAGAGCGGAAAAGAGAATGTCACTCAGTGTTAAGTGCAAGTGTTAGTGTCGATGGTCATTATGACGGCAAGGAGGGCTGGGCGGTTGCGGCCAGAGTGAGTGAAAAGTGAGTGCACAATTAGAGTGAGTTGAGTGCAAAAACAGTTAAATGTCCCGCAAGACTAAAGAAAGAGCGGAAAAGAGAATGTCACTCAGTGTTAAGTGCAAGTGTTAGTGTCGATGGTCATTATGACGGCAAGGAGGGCTGGGCGGTTGCGGCCAAAGTGAGTGAAAAGTGAGTGCACAATTAGAGTGAGTTGAGTGCAAAAACAGTTAAATGTCCCGCAAGACTAAAGAAAGAGCGGAAAAGAGAATGTCACTCAGTGTTAAGTGCAAGTGTTAGTGTCGATGGTCATTATGACGGCAAGGAGGGCTGGGCGGTTGCGGCCAAAGTGAGTGAAAAGTGAGTGCACAATTAGAATGAGTTGAGTGCAAAAACAGTTAAATGTCCCGCAAGACTAAAGAAAGAGCGGAAAAGAGAATCTCACTCAGTGTTAAGTGAATGGTGTTAGTGTCGATGGTCATTATGATGGCAAGGAGGGCTGGGCGGTTGCGGCCAAAGTGAGTGAAAAGTGAGTGCACAATTAGAGTGAGTTGAGTGCAAAAACAGTTAAATGTCCCGCAAGACTAAAGAAAGAGCGGAAAAGAGAATGTCACTCAGTGTTAAGTGCAAGTGTTAGTGTCGATGGTCATTATGACGCCAAGGAGGGCTGGGCGGTTGCGGCCAAAGTGAGTGAAAAGTGAGTGCACAATTAGAATGAGTTGAGTGCAAAAACAGTTAAATGTCCCGCAAGACTAAAGAAAGAGCGGAAAAGAGAATGTCACTCAGTGTTAAGTGCAAGTGTTAGTGTCGATGGTCATTATGACGGCAAGGAGGGCTGGGCGGTTGCGGCCAAAGTGAGTGCAGAGTGAGTGCACAATTAGAATGAGTTGAGTGCAAAAACAGTTAAATGTCCCGCAAGACTAAAGAAAGAGCGGAAAAGAGAATGTCACTCAGTGTTAAGTGCAAGTGTTAGTGTCGATGGTCATTATGACGGCAAGGAGGGCTGGGCGGTTGCGGCCAAAGTGAGTGAAAAGTGAGTGCACAATTAGAATGAGTTGAGTGCAAAAACAGTTAAATGTCCCGCAAGACTAAAGAAAGAGCGGAAAAGAGAATGTCACTCAGTGTTAAGTGCAAGTGTTAGTGTCGATGGTCATTATGACGGCAAGGAGGGCTGGGCGGTTGCGGCCAAAGTGAGTGAAAAGTGAGTGCACAATTAGAATGAGTTGAGTGCAAAAACAGTTAAATGTCCCGCAAGACTAAAGAAAGAGCGGAAAAGAGAATGTCACTCAGTGTTAAGTGCAAGTGTTAGTGTCGATGGTCATTATGACGGCAAGGAGGGCTGGGCGGTTGCGGCCAAAGTGAGTGAAAAGTGAGTGCACAATTAGAGTGAGTTGAGTGCAAAAACAGTTAAATGTCCCGCAAGACTAAAGAAAGAGCGGAAAAGAGAATCTCACTCAGTGTTAAGTGAATGGTGTTAGTGTCGATGGTCATTATGATGGCAAGGAGGGCTGGGCGGTTGCGGCCAAAGTGAGTGCAGTGTTGGTGTCGATGGTCATTATGACGGCAAGGAGGGCTGGGCGGTTGCGGCCAAAGTGAGTGCAGTGTTGGTGTCGATGGTCATTAAGACGGCAAGGAGGGCTGGGCGGTTGCGGCTGAAGTGAGTGGAAGTGCGCGTGAAAATAAATACACAATCAGACAAATACAATCAAGAACTCCCACACACAAACAGTCAAAAACAATTAATAGCTCCCACACAAAAATCAGCAAGCATATGAAAATCATATGAAAATATAAGACAATTAGACTGTAATGTCAATATACGAGCGGAGCTTTGACTACTAATAGGTGAGTATTTCTGTTTTGGCGTAATCTTTATATTGAAATTATTTCTATTATTTATTTTCTCTATTATTTTTTAAAAATATATTGAGTATATTTTCATTTGAATATTTATTTGTACTTTCTCTTATATTTTTCTTCATATTTTATTCATATTTTCATTTGATAAGTTGCTGAATATTTATTTTACATGCTCCACTTACACAAATCAATAAGAATCAAAGATTATTTATGCTAGGAATTTCTCAATTAAGTCTCCATTTGGAATATGAAAACAAAATCAATCGATTTACATAGTTCTCTCGCAATTTAACTCGATTATGTATTCGTATTTGGAATTCCTTTTCCATAATTGAATTGACCACAAACTGCAATGATTTATGTTTGTGAGATTTGCATTTATGGTATCTGGCTGCTGCTCCTCCTTTTGCTTTAGGTGTTGTCCCGCCCCGTCCCTTCCTCACTTGGCTGCCCACTTGGATGTCCCAAAAGTAAAGTAAAAGCAATTGTATTTTGCATGGAAATTGCCAATTTACCGCTGGCTGCTCGGGCAAGAGTCCTCCTGCTACGACTCCTAGGGCATTTCAATTAGTTTTATTAAAAATGCATACGTATCGTGCAGGGTAGTGTCTGTGGAAGGGAAGGAGCTATGGGTACAAAACGATTCAATTCAAATTGATTGCTAAGTCCAAGGACGATGGGCTGTTCTATTACGTTTAGTTTTAATGCTTTCTCTGCTTTCAATCAACCATCAATAGTCAATTAGATAATTGTGGGTATTAGTTTGAACTTGCTGCAGGCTGGCGGGCTGTCTGTCTGCCTGCCTGTTCATTTAGAGCAATAAACTAAGAAAGGAGCAAATAATATTCAATATAAATGTTAATCATGTCTCTAATTAATGTTTTAATTATCTAAATTGCATTCTAAATGGGATTATGTTCGAACTGGTTCCATTTCTTGTTGCAAATTCTGTGAAATTAAATATGAGAAACAAAACCACATATCGATATCACTATCGATTGCACTAGAAAGAAGCACTGCTGTAAAAGGAACAGCTGTGCGGTGCCAGTCTGTACTTTTCACTTGTCATCGTCGGCAGCAGCACTAAAACTTGAGGTTAGCAATTGAATTTGTGCATTAAAAGTCGATTTGATCTTGAATTCTTTTGAAAATATAGTTGAACGTCTTGCAAATTGCTTATAAAACATGTTTCGCAACCAATACGATGGCGACGTCTCTGTGTGGAGTCCTCAGGGGCGCCTGCATCAAGTGGAGTACGCCATGGAGGCCGTCAAGCAGGGCACAGCCACCGTGGGATTGAAGGGCCGAGATGCTGTTGTTCTCGTGGCCTTGGGCAAGTCGTCTCAGTTGTCTGTGGCTATGCGCAAGATCATTCCCATCGATGAGCATTTGGGCATTGCCATTGCCGGCATCACGGCCGACGCACGTGTGCTGAGCCGCTACTTGCACTCGTCGTGTCTGGGCTATCGCTATAACTACAACAACGTCTATCCCGTGGAGCGCTTGATGACGAATCTGGGAAACAAAATGCAGTGCACCACCCAACGCTACGATCGTCGTCCCTATGGCGTGGCTCTACTCGTTGCTGGGTACGACCAGAAGGGACCCAATCTCTATCAGGTCATGCCTTCGGCCGTCAACTACAACTGCAAGGCCCAATCCATAGGCTCGCGCTCGCAGGGCGCTCGCACATATTTGGAGCGTAATCTGGATTGTTTCTTGAAGTGTTCCAACGAAGAGCTAATTTGTCATGGCATACTGGCCATAAAAACCAGCCAACCCATAGACCTGACTTCGGGTGAACAGGAGAAGGCAGCGGCTGCAGCAAACATCACTGTGGCCATTGTTGGCAAGGATCAGCCATTTCAAATGCTCAGCGAGGAGCAGGTCGAGCACTACACCAAAATGGCCAATGATATGGGTGCTGCTGCACAGCCACAGCCACCCATCAATCCGGATGACGATGATGATGACGGTGACGATGGCCGTCCACCAGGCGCACTGATTGAACCGGAGGTTGGAGGGGTTGCTGACCCGCAAGTAGATGTTGTCCTAATGGAACATTAGATCTTAGAGCAGAGAACAATCTAAGCCTTCAAATAATCCCTAAATACATGAAAAAGGGTAGAGGAAATCAGCTCTTAATCGATTTGCATTCAAGTTTTGTTGGCCTAGTTTCTGTCTATGACGATTTGAATAGCTATTTGAATGTACTTGTATGAGGAATCTCGTTTTTCACGTCGACTATTGAAAACCCATGAAAAACCTTAGCTAGGAAATTTAATTTTGCATTTTTCACACCGCATACTGCACAGAAACAAATACAAACAGAAGTACAGGGACAACCCCACCCGATAAGCTCGTTGTTCAATTAAAAAATCCAATTCTGCTGATGCTGCCCCTATTCAAGCAGCAGCCTGCCTGTTACCGCTGGCGCCTCATTGAAAAATACTTAATTAAATTCATCAACGCTTGACAGGAGCTGCCCGGCAGCAACACCGTCACCAGCATCAGCAGGAGGAGGAGAGGAGTGGCAGCTGTAGGATGGCAATTGTGGAGGAGCTTATAGGCAGCCAATTGGCAAAAGTGAGAAGTTCACTTTGCCGCCATTATGAGGGGGCCAATGGGTGGTGGGTGTGGGTGTTCGAGTGGGTGTTGTGAATGGGTTGCGCGGAGGTTGTTATGGGGGTGGAACCTTAATTACATTTACACATGAAGGCCATGTTTACAGGAGCAGGCAGTCGTGCCGTGAATGGGAGCACTGAACGGAGCCGGAGACGGAATGGAGATTACCGGACAGTTATAAGGTTTGACAAGCTTGATTGCAGCCAGGTGCCAGCTCCTGGCAGGCCATCCCTTCCCTTGCCTGCCATCAATCGCCTGGCAAATTGGGCAAACAATGGCCCTCGCAGTCCATTTGGCAGCTACGTTTCTCATTATGCCGCCTCCTCCCCGCTTTACATAATTGCCTCAGCCAGTAGGCGGTGCGTGTACTTACGTGTGCAGAAGCGCGGCTCATCACTGCCATCGCCGCAGTCGTTGAGGTTGTTGCAGTACTTGCTCAGCGGCACGCAGCGCCCATTCGAGCAGCTGTATTCCGCCAGGGAGCAGCCGGTAGCTGAGCTGGAGGCGGATGCCGGTGCCATTTGCAAACTGGCAGGTTTGCCAGGACTAGTCCCAGCTCCAGCTCCAGTGCCCGAGCCAGTGCCAGAGCCAGAGCCAGCAGATGCTGCCATGCCCAGGCATAGGCCCAGGCAGAAAAGGAGCAGCAGCAGCGTCAGTGGCGACGCCGGAAATGGATGTCGCCGTTGGTGCTGCTGTCTCTGGTGCTGTGACTGACAATGGCTGTTGCTCCAGCCGCTGGAAGCCATTGTCGAGGATTTTGCTGGCGCTTTAATTGCTTGACATTGTGTGGGATTTGTTGTTGTTGCTGCTGCTCTTGCTGTTGCAGCTGGCTGCATTTGCAACATTTTTGCGACGTTTCTGTGTCGTTCATTTGGCAGCCATTTTCTGTGATGTTGCAGCAGCAGCATCCTCCTCCTGCTTCTGCTCTGATCTCGGGTTTCTATCAGTCTGCTGGTTCTTCGTGTTGCTTTTGTTGTTTCCTTTGTGGCATGTGTTGTTGGTGTTGGTGTTGCTGTTGCTGTGGCAGTGCTTGTTGCAATTGTTCGTTGTTTCAGTTTCTTTGGCCTTTTTCTGCTTTTGTATTTCTGGCGCCATTTCAATGTCGTCATTATTGTTGGGCCTGCAAACAGAGAGAAGAAATTTATTTAGTACTGCAAAAAACACAAAAACAAACCAACAAAACTTTAACTCTAATCAAAGGAAAAAACTAGTAGAAACGAAAGGGAAACGCAGCTTTTATTTAGTTCTTTATTCAACATAAATCTTTGTTTTATTTTTAATTATATTCATAATAAATTATTCAGCTTTTCTCATGGACTCATCCACTATCTGATCAATGATCTCGTAGCGTTCTTGATTATATTTGTGTGTATTCTGATGCCAGTTCTGACGTATGCGCTTCCAGCGTGCCACATTGAGTGCCAGCAGCACCTCCGCTTCGGCCCCTTCTTGCTCCAGGTCAGCCTTCTGCTCCTCCTCGGTGTAGACCAGAGCGGGTGGCACCACGGTCAACTGGGTGGAGCGTGCCTTTGGCACTTGTGTCAACTCTAACAACTTTCCGCTCATCATTTCTTCCAGAATTTCCTCGGCATTGGGCTCGCGCTTCTCGGTTTGGCCGCATTCTGTGCTGCTAGTGGACACGGCAACGGTGTTGCGCGGCTGATTGCACACCCAGGCGCGGCATATAGGGTACAGTGGCGTCGACTCGCTGAATTTGGAAAGGTCCAGGGTGCGACCGAATAGATCCACGGCACGGGATTCGCTTGATAGTTTCGGTTTTTCCTTCTTGAGAAAAATTTCAGTGGAAAGACTCTTTTGCTTCGGGATCAGCTTCTTCTTGGACGCAGTGCTGCGCATTGGCAGATCGTCGTCTTCTTCCCATTGAGGTTCTGTCTTAATGGGTTTCTTTTGCTGCTTTTGATCTAGGTCTAGGCTCAGCATCTTCGGCGGACGTCCAACGGGCTTGGAGGACTTCTCCTCGTCTTGAGTTTGTGCCTTGGGCGGCTCCAGCAACTTCTTCGACTTGTCAACAGCGGCGTTTTTTTGCTGCTTCTTCGATGATCGGGTCAACTGCGGGCTGGGTTGCTCCTTGGCGTTTTTTGACAATTTCTTACGCAAAGACATAATTAAATTATAGAAAAACAGACTGAATGCCGAAATGTGAAAGTCACTTGACATTTGTTGGAGATGTGCCTGCAGCTCGATTTTTCTTAGCAGTCGGAATGCCAAAAATTATATCGAAATACTGCCCACTGACGCGTTAGTGTTAAAATTAGCTTTTAATTCGTTTTTGCACTGCTGCCAAAAATTCATTTGGCTTTCCGGCTAATGAATGTTTTATGCGGTTAAATAATTTAAAATATTCATACGCTGCTGGGCAGCCGCCACCCCGCAGCCCCCTCTCCGGTGTTGCCCGATTACACGCCAAATTTATGTGAAAATGTTTATCGCGAGGGCATAAACAGAGAACACAGAAATTCGAATGCGAAACTCGGAACATGGAAATAAATTTCCAAACCAAACCCTTCTTCGACCAATGAAAATCATAAATACTTGCAGCGTAAACAATTTTCTTTCTGGTTACAGCTTTTTGTGTTTTCTCTTTCCCCTTTGTTTTGTATTTTTTCTGTTGTTGTTGCTTTTGGTATATTTTTAGCTTTTGTTCGCTGTCTCACTCGCATATTTTTCACGCCAGACTAAGGACGAATTTTCACGCGCTCTGCACATTATGGAGTTACGAGTGCATTTTCCCTCTTATTTTTTTGGGTTTGTTATTTTTTTAATGGTTTTTTTTTTGCTGCGCTTGCAAAGCTTGTAACGGTTTCATTTCGTCCTTGTTTTTGCCGCTGCACGAGCGCTCTTTTCCTACTCGATCTACGACCGGCACTCTGGGAGGATGTACTATGTGTGTGGCCCGAGACGATGTCGGTGGGGAATTGATTAATGTGTTTTCTGTGTGCAACGTTGCCAGGGAGAGAGACAGTCAGCGAGACAGTCAGGGACGATAGCAGGGGGGAGGCGGTGCGCCGGTCTGTCGATTGCAGTCTCTGCCCCGTGATAACGATGAGTAGAAAAACAACAATAGTTGGGGCTTCCCCTACGCCACTGTAACTGATTTATGAATGTTGTTTGGGGTGCCCTACAACGCCTGACCCCAAAAATGGCATCACACGAGTCAATGAGTGCCTGCCAAAGGGAAATCACAGCATTAGAGGGGGAGAGGCAGCAGCTTACAGAGAGAGAGAGAGGAAAAATTACAGAAAAGTGCACACACAAAAAAAAAGTTGCATAATTTTAAATTAGAGGCTCAGACAATGAGCAGACGTGGGGACGGCTGGCAGTGCCACCTGGACGGAAGCTGCAACGACTGCAACAACAAGAACAAAAAACGAGTGTAACACGTGGATGGGGACGGCGACAGCGACAGCAACAGCGACAGAGAGATAGCGACAGATGACATCGGCAGTGAGGCGGAAAGTGTTGCTCATGTCTTTTTTCTCGTCAGTTGCTGAGCATGCTTGTTGCACCAGAGAACATGAAGATGAACGATAAAAAGTAGGGAAAATTAGGGGCCAAAAATTAAAAAAGGAGACACCAGAAATTTGCACAAAAAATGATCAATTTTATGCTGGAAGATTGTGTGCAGATTTTCGGCATCGTAAACTGGAACTGTGATGCATTTCCCTTTCGAAGGCGCTGCTCTCCTCGACAGCCAATATGCCTGGAGGGAGGACTGAGTGTAAGGGAACGACCATGTTGTTTTCAACAATTTTATGGCTCAGTCAATGCCAGCGCCAACCCTCTGCTGAGGGGGGAAATCCCTGCCTTTGCTTGGCCATTACGTTGTCTGGCGTCAGTAGAATGTGCCACAAAGGGCGCCACAGACACAGCAGGAGACGGAGACAGCAGAGAGAGAGAGGAAGAGAGAGAACACTGGACGTTGTCTAGTCGTGCATTAAATTGCTAATCATTTTTAATGTGGCCAACTTTGTCTTAGCCAAGTGCAGTGTAGCTCAGTGTGTGTGTGTGTGTGTGTGTGTGTGTGTGTGTGTCTTGCTTAAAACATAAAATGGAGCTTTGCTTCTAAATGGTTGCCTTCTTAACTCAAAGCATTCACATTTGCACTTTAGCAGCCCCAAAAGGCATCAGCAGGGGCGCAAAAACCAACGCTGGCATCTCGTTTATCGTTGACTTTGGCTTATCAACCCAACACCCTGCCACACACGTGCCACACCATCTGTATGCCATGCCTCATATCCTGTTTACGAGAGATGGAAAGGCTGCAACGGCGTTGTCTTTAATGGGTCTCAAAGGGATGGCAGGCAGGCGGAGGATGGTTGGTTGATATCAGTTTTCGTAAAGCGCGCGCGGCAATGTGCGATATTCCAGCTCTAAGATTTAACTCAACCTTCCTAAACCCACACAGCCACAACTCGGATATCTTCCCACATATGCAAAGTAGTTGCACATAAAAAATGGTGTTGAAGGCAAGCTAAGAGCTGGCTGCCGCTGCCGCTGCCGCTGCCTGCCCGTGT